AGACTCTAGAAATTATGTTGAGGGTCTGTGTGATTGATTGCAAGGGTAATTGGGATGATGACTTAACTTTCATTCAGTTTGCATACAACAAAAGTTACCATTCTAGCATCCAAATGGTTCATTATAAAGATTTTTATGGGAGAAGATGCAAATCTCTTATTGGATGATTTGAAGTTGGTAAAACTTGCTTGATAGGGCCAAACTTAGTTTATCAAGCTATGAAGAAAGTGAAAGTTATTCAAGAGAGTTTGAAAACAACGCAAAGTCATGAGATAATTGAGTTTACTTGAAAGTTTAACCCGTGAAGGGTTTTATGAGTTTTTGTAAGAAAGGGAAACTTAGTCCCCGATATATTGGTCCTTACAAAATATCTAAGTGTATCTTATGAGTTGGAGCTACCACAAGAGTTCGCAGCTATTCATCCAGTATTTCATATTTCTATTCTAAGAAAGTGTATGGGCGATTCTTCATTGATTATACCAACTAAAGATATATGTATTAAGGATAAATTGTCTTATAATAAGTCATGTTCACATTCTGGACCGCTAGGCTTGCAAGTTGAGAGCTAAGGAAGTAGAATCAGTAAAAGTTCTTTGGAGTAATCAATTTGTTAAGAAAGTTACTTCGGAAGCTGAGGAATAGATGAAGAAGCGATACCTACATCTCTTCGAATCCGTAGGAGATCCAAATTAAGGTACTAATACTCTTCTTGACATTTATTTTTAATTTGCATGTTGTATTTATATTTTGCTTGTTAGGTGTTTGAGATAGATGTTAGATGTTAGACCCTTAGCCTATTAAGATTAATCTCATTCAAGGACGAATGTTCCCAAAGGGGAGAATTTTAACGCCTTGCTAGTAGAAAGACATGGAATTAGAAAGAAACAGTTTTTTGGAAATAATCAAATTTGGAAAGTTCGACAAAGTTAAGTTAGTATGAGTTTTGGATAAACTTCAAATAACCATAACTCCTATATTAGGATGATTTAGGTGTGTTACAAGATACCACAGGAAATATCTTTGAATTATTTTTCCAACGCCACCAAGTTTGCACAATTTCGAGTTTGTACGAGGGAGATATGCCCATTTGAAGTTGGTTTGTCTAGATAAGGAAAGTCAAAACTGGATATTTGAAGGTCATTATCGTCTTTTCACTACCCAAATTAATTTATTTCATTTTTGGTAATTACTTGGGGGTATAAACTGAATTGGGTTATTTTACAAACTCAAAGATTTCTCACGAGGGTTTAGAGAGAAGAACTCAAGAGAAAAGAGAAGAGGAAAGTTAAGATTCATCGTTTCGTGAGGAATTGATTGAGGATTTCGTCAAGGATTTGATCCTAAGAGGTATGTAAGACTTTCATAATAATGGGTTCGTTCACCCACTGTACAAACATGTATATTTTAGTATGAGGTCGTCCTAAAATGATCGGAAGTTTGATTTTTCTTATGTGTGTTCTTGAATTTCTTTCGTTCCCGAATTTGGGTTGAGATTGAGGATTTCCGTGAGGTTATAGTGTTGTTTACTTGAGTTGTTTGAATTTGATTCTTGTGTACATATAATGGGGATATAAATCTAAAGATGAATAAAAATGATTCAAATTTAGGAGAATTGGAAAAACGTTCTCCGCGTCACAGACCCTTCTACCTCAAAATTTATTTCACGACCAAATATTTAAATGCATCTCCTCATCGCGGACTTTCTTCCAGACAGGGATTTCTTAATTGTTTATCATGTTTAGCTATCTTAAAACACTCCTAAACATCATGAGATCTTTGCTATCACAAATAACAATCCTTGAATCCATAAATTCAAATTCATGGAATGTTAGAGCCATGTCGAGAGAAATTCCTAAAGTCTTTCATAGATCTTTTACAAATGTTTAACTTTGTCTAAGAGGTGAATTTTGAGATGAGTAAAGAGTAAAGATTGAATTTCATCTCTTAGAGTATATCGGGACTATTATTCCCTAAGAGTTAAATGTTTTCACGTTTAAATAAGAAAGGAAACTGAGATTTCTAAAAGTGTGTATGAGCTAGTTTCCAGTTGAGAGTAAATGCTTTCACAACTAAGTAAGAGAGGAAACACTAATTTCCAAGAGAGACTTCGGGTTAGTTTTTGAGTAATTATCTCAAACCATTAAGTTATGGTTTTGAAAATATGAGCTAGTATATTTTGGGAGTAGTATTGAGTACTTCTATGGGGGAGAGTTCAGACAACTCTCAGCCCCCATAAACCATGTAGCCACCATGAGTTAAAATGGGTCATACATTTTAGATTATTCCTTAGTTATTTTTAACATAAATTAGATGATCCACTTAGAAGTAAGGTTTTATACCCTTGGCAAGGTATAGGACGACACTGACATCGTGAGGGAAAACATTGTATCATCACAATAGCTCTTTAAGTGATGGTTGTTGGATAGAGAAACACCCATTGAAGTATTTTTTATTCTGATATACATTGAGTTAATTGTATGTTTACAGAAAAAAAAGAGTTTATATTGTATCTTCGCATACATACTGATTTACTATTGTATTTCCAAATATATAGAGTTTTTAGGCATGTTTCACGGCCCAGGGTACACCTAGATGTAACATAGCGTACTTGACCCCAGAAGGCCTAACACAAGGCACTTAGCATATCATAACATAAAGTACATAGATATGATGAAGAATTTTAAAACTTTTCTTTACAATCGAAGTCTTTATAAAAGCAAGCGAAAGTCTTTAACACTTTGTCTCAAAACTGTCTAATACCACCTGTATAACTATTTAGGACACAACCCATAGAAAAGTCTAGAAAATAAAAGAATGTCTAAAAGGTAACGGTGTCTTTGTCCTCGATGATATGAGGACTTACCAAATCTACAACTCCTTTGCACTTTTAGAACCCCATCCTCATGAATGGAACTCAAATTCGTCGGACTCAACATTTGATAACAACGTAGGCAAGAGTAAGCGTTAGTACAAAATGTACTAAATATGTTAGTTAGCATGACATCATAGGAGCATAACACAAGGGTTGGCCAACATAAAACGTAAGTGATGATCATACGTGACAATAACATGATCATAAGCATAATCTCCAGCATAGGCATAATATGAACATAAGTCAACATAAGTCATAATCCCAAAACATAGTAAATACCAGATATTCATTAGCATAGTCCATACTTAAGTCCTCTAAACATAAGAGAAACTTCAAAATTAACCTTCAAATTATACTTGTGCAATGCATAGATGAGACCCCATAATGCCAACTAGGATAAGTACAACTCTTAGGCCATAATACCTCTTTAATATTTTTGATCTAATCCTCTAGCTAACTTCTCATAGACAAGGGAATCTCTCACCTTTAGTCAAACATATCATAGAACACACCTATAGAAAAAACTCATCAAACATACATCCGATAAGAGAAACACTTCTCAGGTAACCATAAGTCATACTTTTTGCAATGCATGGATAAGACCCCATAATCCTACCCACTTTTTGCAATGTATGGATAAGACCCCATAATCCTACCCACTTTTTGCAATGCATGGATAAGACCCCATAATCCTAACCACACTAAGTACTGCTTTAGGTTATCATACTCTTACTTCTTGGTTGGAAACTTGTCCCTCTCTTTTAACCATTATTCACTATGAGGTAATTCCTTAAGCTCATCTTAGTTCATTATTAAGTTTAACCCTGTGAGATACTTCCTTGTGCATGCTTAAGTTTATTATTATGATTGACCTTATGAGATACTTCCTGAAGCATTTCTAAGTTTATTAATGCTTTTGACCACTAAGATATACTTCTTCAGCTATGCCTTAGTTCATTGAATATAGAGACTGCTACTAGGAACTCTAACTCCACTTGGTGAAGGCTTCCATCTCATGAGACCTGAATTTGGGAAAACTCGGACTCTACTATGTAAGATTTCCCCCTTTAACTTGGATAGTCCTCACATCAACTAGGTGTGGTTTTCCTCTCAACTTGGACAGGAGCCTAGACCCTACCTTGTGTGACTTTCCCTATCATTGCCAATATCTATTTGGGGCCAAACATATACCCCTTAGACTCATTATTAAGACTTCCTCACATGCATGTCTCATGTAAAAATATCCTTGACAATCAATCCATGTTCAAGTGATTCTATCAGTTTATACATTCAAGCATTCATAAGGTAGGTTAGGTGAGCACAATCATTTTAACACAATTCTACCTATTAGACCTCTATTCTCATACATACTTTACTCTCAAAGCCTTAGCATACATAATTCATCACATTAGTTTTACTTTTAAAGACCTAATGATCAACATTCATGACTACAAGTCTTACTCTCAAAGCTTTACTTCTTACAATAATCATACATATATAGATCACAAGACATTCAAGTCATCAACTTCATCTTTAAGCAACTCTAGACATAATTCATCATAAACTTTAATATCAAGATTTACTAGTCATGATCCATCATATATACTCTATTCTAGCTCAATATATGTTTACATGCTTCTATTATTAAACTATTACTATACATAACATCAATTCTAGAAGATCATATATGAATCCTCAATTTCCCTTCACAAGGCATAAACCCACATTACTACAATTTCCTCAATTAAACTAGGGTTAGCCATGGAAACCATAGAATATCTTCATAATATCTTGTTTCAATACTAAATCAATCATAAACAAGTACTATCTTGTCTCGAATAAGGAGTACACCCTAGATGTAATATGGTGTACTTAACCTTAAATGGGTCTCATACAATACCTTAGCATATCAAAACATAACATAATATAAAAGATACAAAATTTTAAATTTTTTACCATACAATTGGAATCTTTAAAGAACGCAACATAAGTCTTACTACACTTTATCTCAAACCACCTAGAACTCAACTTCGAATGAAACTTTGAGAGGTATCTCATACAATAGTATAAAACATAAAGAAAAGACATAAAGGAAAAGTTATCAATCTTTGATACTATGAGGACTCACCAAGTCTTCAACTTCTTTCTCCTTCTAAGAACCTAGCATCAAAGATAGCACTCAATGTCGCTGGACTCTACATTTTATGACAATGTAGTCAAGAGTATGCTTTAGAACAAAATGTAATAACTATGTTACATAGTATGAAATCACATTAGCATAACACAAAGGTTAGACAACATAATGCATAAGTCATAACCATAAGAGACAATTACATAATTATAAGCATAATATTCAATGTAGGCATAATATAAGCATAATTAAAATAAGGCATACATCTTGTGCATAGGAGATACATCATCATCATGTCATTCTATACTTTAGACCTTCATATCATAAAAGTTTTATACTCCTAAGTAATCTCAAAACACATGTGTGCAATGCATGAATGAAATCTAATAATCCCATTCATACTAAGCATAACCTTGAAGTCACCATATTCATACTCACCGCTCATTTGGTCTCATTCTTAGCTGAATTCATATAAACATTGGAATATCTCACCTTTAGTTAATCATATCATGGAAGACAACAATAGCAACAATCCATCAAAACATACATTATACAATAGAAATACATCTAAGGTAACCTTAAGTTATACTTGTGCAATGCATGGATAAGACCCCATAATCCTACCCACACTAAGTACTTCATTAGGTCCTTATACTCATGCTTATTGGTTGGAAACTACTATGAGATACTCCTTTAGCATACTCTTAGGTCCTTATTAATGTGAACACTATTAGATTTTTCTCAAGCATGTCTAAGTTCACTATTTAGATGGACCCTATGAGATACTCCCTTAAGCTTGTATAAGTCCATTAATTCTTACAAACACTAGGATGTACTCTTTAAGCAAGTCTTAGTTCATTGGACAAGGAGATTTAAACCGTAAATTCAGTAGGTGAAGGCTTCCATCACATGAGATCTAACTTTGATAAAACCCAAACTCTATTATGTGAGGGTGAAACTCTATTATGTGAGATTTCACCCGTTAACTTAGATAGTCCTCACATCAACTAGGTGTGATTCTCCTTTCAACTTGGAGTCAATATCCACTTGGGACAAGCATACACCCCTATATTTACTATTAAGACCTGTATAATATTTATGTCTCGTGAAAGAAAGTGCTTGACAATTAATCCATGTTCAAGTGATTCTATCAATTTTTACTTCAAGCATTCATAAGGTAGGTTAGGCAAGTGTAGGTCTTCCAATACAATTTTACTTATTATATCTCTATTCTCATATAGACTTTACTCTCAAAGACTTAATATACATTATATATCATATTAGATTTACTCTCAAAGCCCTAGAAGTCAATGCTCATGACTATAAGCCTTACTCTCAAAGCTTTACTTTATACTATCGTCATACATATCTAGATTTCAAGACATTCTAGTCATAACCTCCAGCTTTAAGCAATTCTAATCATAATTCATCATAGAAGTTCAATATTAAGCTTTAGTAGTCCTGATTGAGTTATATATACTATAATATAATTCAATTCGTGTCTACTTGCTTTTATTATTGAACAATTACTATATATAACATCAATTCTAGAAGAACACCAATATATCCTCAATTTCACTTCACAATGTAAAATATATAATATAACCAATATATAATGATTTAATTCTAAATAAACCATAAACAAGTATTATCCGCTCAATTGGAATCATACCCAACACTACCCACAACATAAGAAGAAACCCTAACTTGGATTGGGGTTCTTTTTCCAATATAGGGAAAATCTAGGGGGATCTATGGATGCAATAATCCATATATGAATAAGCTAACATACCATGATTCAAAGACCTCACAAAATCTTGCAACAATGGAGTCTTGTTCTTGGAATAAGCTTCAAGCTCTATCTTCTTCTTCAAGTCTTAGAGAAAGAAATATTTGAGATGAGAGTATCAATGGAATTGATATTGGTCTTATGAAACAATCACTTAATTGGGTCGTTAAAGGATGAAAAATTTTATTTAGGTGTTTTAGGACTAGTCAAACAGACCCCATTGAATGACTACCTCATTCAGAATTTCCTAAAAACTCTTCCATTTGGCAGCCTACTGTCCACGCTTCACGTGAGGCACCACGGGTCGTGGTCGTCACCACTGACTGTGGTCCTGCTCGTATTCTTTGTAACAGTAGCTAGACCACTTGACTTGGCCTCTAAAAGTCCATTTCATAACCACGAGGCTTCCACGGGTCGTGGTCTTCACCACTGACCGTGAAGTGGCCCATGTTCCATAGTCCTATGGCCTTGCCCTAAGGAGTTGCCTCACATAAAGATAAGGCACCTTCACGAGGCCTCCATGAACAGTGGTCAAGACCACTGGTCATAGTGGTGGCCGTGAAGTTGGGCAATGTTTGCCACTATTGAGGTAGCCTTGGCCTTTGGCTTAGGCTTTGCCCTTTTGCCTTGGTGCTTGTCCTTGTAACTCTCCACTAAACCCTAGATGGTCTATTAAATTAGGGGGTGCAACACGTATATTGAATTTTAACCTCATATCACACTCTAGAACCCCAACTTAAGACTCTAGTTTAGTCTTCTACTTTCTAGGTGTAACAATATCTCCCCCTTGGAAACATTTGTCCTCAAATGATGATTTTAGACGCTTCTTGGTCACCACTCTAGACTAGTAATCCATCATGCATGCAACACATCTATATGCACACAACCAAGGAGGAAAATTTCAACTCAAAACTAGCCACAATCAATGCAATACAAGGAATGTAGGAACTATATCTAACAACCCAAAATGCAAGAAATTGTCTTACTAGTCATATTCAAGGAGGAACTACCATATCCTAGTCACAACATGTTCAACATACGCTCATGGAGATCATATGAAATTTACTCTCAAAAAGCATTTATTCATGGAGGAATCTCTCAACTCAAACAAAAGCATGCTCCTATGTTCATCTCATGAAGTCAAATAGGCAACTCACATTCAATGCATTACAAAATGAGGAGAACAATGCACATAAGTCATTTTATCAAGTTTTTATGAACATACATCATAGAAGGAAGTCATTGAAACACATAAACAAACCATAAACTTGCTATCTAGGCACACCATCTCCCTCTTGGGAGTAAGCCTATACAAACTTTTCTAAACATCATAAAAATACTTAGAAAGAGTTGCCATATTTTTTGAAGAAATTAAGGAAACTTAATTTAAAATGACTCTAACAGTTTATATCCAAAAAAATTTAGAGAAAATGAGTAAGAGGTTCTTATTAATACAAGTGATTGGAACTTTAACAAAACTAGATTTATAATAACTTTTTCTTGAACCATTCTAAAAAATAATAATTTGAACTAAATTAGTGAATTCAAACATGAAAATCTTTATAATAATTAAAGAACTTGACTAAAGATGTTAAATAAAATTATGAGAGTTGATCAAAAAAAAGTTAAAATGTACTAATATAAAAGAATATTGGTTAATATTTTGGGGAATTTGATTAAGCTAATACTAAAATTAATTAGCAAATAAACTAGTAAGGGTAAGACAAATTAATAAATTCAAATACGGAGAGTGAGCGAGGAAGACTGGGACTTTATGATTCTTGGGCTTTGGCCCCATTCCCATATCCTAAACTATTATAAAGGCTACCAAAATATCAGATGGGCTTTGGCCCAACTTTAAAAAAAAAAGCTGCCTGATTTCTTAGGGATTTTGGGCCCACTTTTTGTTTTTGTATATAGATAGTATATAGTCCATATATCAATGTATAAAACTCTATTTTTAAATTCATGAGACTTGTATTTTCGTCTTCGACCTGTATATCCGTAGTTTGGATCTATATTTCAACACCTCCACCAGTATATTAGTATATAAACATTGTATACAATTTAAGGATAAAGATAAGTAAGCGAGAAAATTCTTTAATAAACTAGGTGATAAGGTTTAAGGATAATCATTTCAACAATTTGTCCTTCACCACAATTTAACCAACAAACACATTACTATCAAAGAGCTATTGTCTCGACATTTTGGTATTAATGATAAGACAAGTAAAATTATAATTTAAAGCCAATGATAATTAAAAATATTTCATGACCAATATATACTTCTCATAATGAATAAAGAAAGTCAATCAAAGTTTATCTTCATGACAACCGATCATGACATAAGAACCATCTAAACAACAACCTAACACTTTAAAAATATGTAGTATATAACAGAAAAATAAAATAGATTACTTGCTTTGGAAACCATCACACATTGATTTCAATATTTAAACACCACTAGCACCAACATGACAACTAAAGAATTAGATTTAAAGCAGTATCCTGAAGGATTACATTCACATGCATATCCCGGAGGAGAAAATCATATTATCAAGTATCAATAATACAATATATAACTCATGGATCTAAGTCAAGATATGACATTCCATGCTAAAACAATATCATAAACTTAAGACAAGAAGACAATCGATTAAAAGAACCATAGTACCGTAGCAAATTATCACTCTCTAATCAAATTTTAAAACTAAAAACATCTAAACCAAGCCTATAGCGGAGTCATGATAATCAAGGAAGGACTAAAGTAAATAAATCATTTTGAAAAAAAAACAGATCACCACTAGGCTATTAGAATCAACAATATAAGAGTAGCAATTACTTGATACCAAATTTCCAAAATTTAATATATACACATTCTAGTCATGCTCGGGAACAAAAGGCTAATAGCTCAATGAGAACGAAAAATTCATTTCCTATTGGGTACTAACGATAAAAAAAACACAGATATGCAAATACTATCGTACTAAAAGCAGAAGATTAAGGCTTAAACCAGCAAAGGAGGTATAAAATCGAATCAACTGTACCCAACAACAAACTACGGTCACAATAGTAAAGAAATTAAATAAGATGAGGAAGTATAACTTTTTCAGAGTAGCGATGAGCTTTGAGAGAGACGATTTTCTTACCATGCAATTCGAATATGAAGAACAAACCAAGAATCCCCAGGAAGAACCTAAGTGGTGAACATTTCGGAATTTGAGATTAGAGAATTGTAAGCTATTTTCATATATGACTCAAAATCCCAATCTTTTCCCCCTTTGAAAAACTTTTTTTTCATTACCAGCCCCTCAAACATTGACTGCTTGAGAGTTTATATAGGGGAAAAGAAAATCATTCTTGGAGGGAAATCGAATTGAAAGGAAGAGTTTGAATTCAACTTTCAAGTTCTCTTTTGGATAGGGGTACTGGATTTCCGCGATTTGGTGGGATTTTTCGATCTTGCTGGGATTTTTGCGTGAAGAAGACAATATTGGGGTAGTGGGGTCGCGTATGTTGTTGGACGCGACTTCTGGGTTCTTGCTATGAAGGTGAAGACACCTAAGGGCGTCGGATTCGTCTGCTACTTTGTGTAATGCTGAAAAGTGGAATTGAAATTGGGCTTGGGTTTCTTATGGAATTGAAAAATATAGTGGGATGATTATTGGTAGAATTTGATTGCAGGGAAAATTGAATTTTGGCTGCTTGAAATTGGAAGTTAGGACCAAACCTGGTCATAAAAGATGGGATAAGCAATTGACTAAAAATTGTTATTAAATAATAGCCAAATGAATTTCAATTATAGTCGAATAGAATCTAATTGTTGAATTTGGCCAAAATTTAAATAAATGAGTTAATGGATATTAATTAATGAGCTTCTTAATCTTAACGAAATCAAAAAATTAATTTACTTGTAAACAAAATTACTCAAAAATATAAACATAACTTAAACTAATCAAACAAATACGTAATTAAGGCAAAAATCCTTTTGGGATGATTTTCGAATATTCTTAACATATACAAATGATATACATAATTATAAAACACACATAATATATTATTTAAAGATTATAAAAATGATACATATGTATATATATACACATATACATATATATATATATATATACTTATATATATATATATATTGAATTTTTAGAAAATAAATTATTATAATTCGCTAGAAAGTGAAGAAGATTGATGATTAATTTATATTGTGGAGGACCAACATTTGGCGTCAACATTGACTAGGCACTTTATCAAGACCCAAGAGCACACCCTAGTCGTAACAAGGCATATTCGACCTCTCAGAGGACTTATACAAGCCCTTAGCATTCTTTCATCACACAGGCATAAAATGGTGCGGAATTTAAAACTTTTTCATTTGAAAAGACAAGACAAAAAGTTATCTCATTTAAAACCATTAATACAAAGTTGGGATACTAAGTCTCATTTTGCCATCTTAGACACGACTTCAATATAATAGGGACACAACCCTTACAATACAAAAAGAAACATTACTAGTCTATTATATGAACTTAAAGAAACTGTTAATACAACGGTCCTTGAATCATTTAGGGCACACCCAAACATCGGAATAGTAATCCAAGCTCTTCATTCTAAGAAAGGTCCTTTATCCACCACATCTACACTTGGTATAAAGAGGTGAAGAAGAATGATGTTAGTACAAAAATGCATTAAGTATGATAACTATGCAAAAAAACATGCTTTAAAAAAGACATTTAGTTGGAAACCATGCATCATGTCATTTTAGAGAAACTTCGTGAACATTTGATATAACAAGCACAATATAGTTCACTTGCATCATAATAGACATGGATACCATTCATAACAACACATAAAACCACTTATCACATTTGAGGCACTTCTAATACCTAATATACATTACCTTTCCTTTTTACCTTAATTCCTTACCTAAAGCAACCCTTAAGTAATACTTAGTGCAATGTATGAAAAGTGTTTAATTCCACCATTCATACCAAAGTATCACCTTAAGGTCAGCAAAGATGAACTTTCATACAACCTTCATCAATCAAACTACATACATTCATAAGGACACAAGCACATCATAAAACATAACCTTCACATAAGAAACATCACCTAAGACAACCACAAGTCACACTAGTGCAATGTGCAAGTAGCATCCCATGATACTATTCACACCAAGTGCTCCTATGAAATCACCCTAGACTAGACACATCACATTCAACAAGTCACAACATATTTATTTAACATTAGACATGAGACTAACATACTTCATTAACGTCATATAAGAATTCATTCATTCATTACGTCTTATTCATAACTCATTTAGTTAGTGTTAATCTTCTTACTTTCATTTATTCATTTTGACAAATGGGAAAATTCTTCATAATCGACATAGACCATGTGAACTACATGGAATCTGGTGTCATCCGCTCATATCGAAAGGAGCGTGTCCTACTTGCCAAGGTAGGGCATTAACATTCATAATATAATCTAGGTTGATCCACTAGCTAAGGTTCCTATGGGGGCACATAGTTAAGGAACTAGTAGGTTGTTACTAGAAACCCTCTTTATGCTAATTAGCATTGTAGTTTCCACCTCATGAGATAATAGGGTGAACCTTTCTTCCTTTTTGAAGGAAACCTCTAATTGTCAAGTTCACTTGGTGCTAAGATAAATTCCCTTTTTGAAATGTTTTTAAGTCTTTCTCAAACATTAAGTCACAATATAGGTCTTAGGGGCTTAACCCCTTCTATAACATGTAGATATCTCATAGGCTATATGATGACAATGTCATTTCATCAAAACCAACATCATGAGAATGTCCTTTCACATAATGATAACATTCATAACATAGTCCGTTTAAAGTACAATTGAGTAAAACCTTTCAAGACACCCACATTCACTAGATCATCATTAATCTTAGTCATTCGTACATTCATCTGTGTCTGCGCGTGCACATGTGAGAAAGCCTTTCACATAAACACTTTAGACAACACATGTTCATACCTTACTAGTAATAAACTTTTCATGCATAATAAGCTGTCAAGGTGCATATGAGAATAATCCTTTAAATCAACACCCTAAACATATCATACTCATAGTTAGCATTGGATGTGTGTTTACATATTGGTCCTCATAATGACATAGAACTTCCCTAGGATCACAACACATTTAAAATATCCTCAAGTTATGAAAAATTCACATATAAAGCAGGATTCTATACCATACACCCACCCTTCATCACAGGAGACATAAACACATCCAACGCTTAAATAGATAACTCCTAACATGTATAATATCACACATTCATATAGGTCTCATTTAGGTAGGTATCATTCCATGATAGTATTTATCACAATCAAGCATGTACACTATACCTTGCCCTAACATTATACTTCACATTATCAATATACCTTAATCATGATAATAACATTAAGGACTACATACATAACCTTCATCACCACACACAATTTTAATACAACATAATAGTAAATATACCAAACTTACAAGGAACACCAACTTCATATCATTTTGCACTCAATGCAACAAAAGCAAGTAGGGACTTCATTCACAAATTCATAATGCATCAAATATATAATAATTTCTCATGTTCATAGGAGGAACTAATTTCTCCTAATCATGACATGACTTTTACCCTTTATCTCATCATAAGGCCCAATATGAAATAACTCTCAAATCAAACATAGTCATGATCAACATTACAACTCATGAGGCAAATAAGTAATTCATACAAAATGCTCATAAATCATGAGAAATGTAGATCAACTACAATCTTATTATTTACCCATCAAGGAAATATATGACATTACCATGTTTAGTTATGTTTAAGGAGGAATTGTGTTCCCCTTGTCATAACATACTCTCATTCATCTTAAAGATCATATGCAAGCATTTCAGGAAGGTCAATTCTTAATTGAGAAATTATCAACTTCAATTCTAACAAAAGCATTAACTTACTTCCTTTCCATGAAGTCAAAATGGTAGATCATACCACGCACATCACCACATTAGGATGTTATTTCACAAAATTATAATTTATTGCATAACACTTGTGTTCATGAATATGCATTATATAGGGAAGTTATTACAACTTATAGGTACACATCAATAATATTGGCTATGCACACCATCACTCCTCAAGAATGAGCATATGTCAACACTTCCAAACAACACAATATCACATATTCTTAAAGGGAATTTATCTTTTTTTCATTTAAAAAAAGCTCAACACCTCAACATGGGGCCAAAATGCCCTTACATCAAAAACACAACCAATATTTTTCATTAAACCTCCTCATGAAGTCAAATGTGTATTCACCATAATAAGATGCACAACAACATGAAAAACATGTAATTTACCAGAAATTCCTTTGCATGAAAAAGACATAAATTTTCCCTTAAATTTATCTCGAAAAGTCAGTTACACACTTAGACTATCATAATAACCTATTACACGCCTACACTATTTAAAATTGAATTTTATAACCCCCTAAATTTGACGTGGCAAAAATATAAAACAAAAATAAAAAATAGACACGTCATTTTGGAAAAAAGTAAAAAAAATTATAATCCTCTTTTCTACCCCCACCCCCACACCTCTTCTTCTTCACACCCCCACCATTGTCTTCTTCTTCATTCTTTATTTGATGACACTTTTTTATTTTTTTATCACAATCTAAAAGCACAATTTCTTTTTTACTCACAATTAGGTTAATTTCCATAGATTTGTTAGTGAATAATTGTATTTTATCTAAAAAAATTTGGTTGATTGTTTCTATCTTTTTCATTTTTTTTGACTTTGTTAAAAATATTTGGTTGTTAATCATTTTTGCGTTTGGTGGTGGTAGAAATTTTATGGGTTTGGTGGTGATGGATGGCGGATGAAAAAAATTAAAATAGGATATTGAAGGTGGTGAAGAAGAAAAAATCGATATTGATAAATGTAGTGGTAATATTTGGTGTTGGCTGACAAAAAGAAGAAGAATTGAAGGCGATTGTAATGGTGAAGAACATAATAAATAGTGAAGGTGAGTTCGGGGTTCGAATATGATTTTCCAATGAAATAATAATTGAAAATGGGTGAGATTTAGTGATGAATAAGATATAATTATTAAAGAATTAAAATAATCAATTTGGGATTCATTAGAGTAAAATATAGTTAATAAAATAAAAGTTAATTAATAAAGAAACTATAATAAAATAATTATAATTTATGACATGACGCTGACGTAGAGCTAATGTGGCAGCGAGTGTAATACACCACACAATGTGAGAATGGTGTTACACGTTTCAGGGTGGTAATAAATTCACAGTGTGTAATATGTCACAATGATAGTATTAACGTGTAACTGACTTTTCGGTATAAGTTCAAGTGGGAATTTGTGTCTTTTCCCAATAAGAACCTTTCAAAACATGCATAACATAATGTCATCAAGGACATGCATAACAGATGGAGAACATGTAACTTATACTCATATGCACGACTCAGAAACATGAACAAGCTACTAGGAACCTTTGGTCTCAAGCTTGAGTAAGAATAGAAGGAAAAGGTAGGGATATCAACAACATTCTACTCAACTCATCATCCCCCACTTGGGGTAAACCCATCTAAGAGAAACTTATCACAACCAAGAGATGTTAACTTACCAACCTTACTAATCAAGCACAACATCCCCCTCTTGGGATCAAGCTTATGCATACTCTTTTAAACATCACCG